TTTTTTCTATTTCATCTTTTATGCTATCTTTTCTATTTTCTATAATTGTCCTTTTATTGGTTTTCAACCATCTTTCCTGTAGTTTGCACATATAAATCATTGCAAATGTTGAAGTAAATTGCCCATTTGTTTTCATCTAGAAAAATATTATGCAAAAATCAACATACACGATTCATTTAAATAATTTTGAGAAAAGAAATGCAGTTATATATGCAACCTGTATTTTTCCTCTTTCTCTGTCAAATTAAGCTGAACTACCTGTTGCACAGTTTATAACTGAAATAAGATAGAATATTCTTATGTATATTCTATACATATTCCATGTATTGACCAGCAGATCTTAAATGATTTCAGTGATGCATTTTTAATACAATAATTATTGATTTACTAAAATCTACTTATTGATTAATAATAAATCAACTACTACTTGTGATATCAATGTTTCATCTGCTAGTTAAACATCTGGGTTTGTAACTGTGAATAATTGAAGATTTTGTTTCTTTTTAAACTAGGAGATATTATCTAGCACTCTTAGCAAGAAATTTAACAGGATCAGGCAGTGCCAATTTAATTTCTTCGTTAATTCAATTTAGAAGTTGAATGGACACCTACCAAAGTATTTTTTCTAAGCAGTAACACACACAGAGCAGGTAGGGGGAAACTTAGAGGTACTTAAAAATTGTGCTTCCCTACAATCAGGAAAGTTATTACATTGAATTGGAGTGAAAAAAAAATGAAGTTTGAACTAGTTTAATATATTAGTATGTATTTTGTGAATGCCATTTAAGACCTGTAACAGAGGAAATGAAGTGCAGCAATATGAATAAAGGGCTAGACTTCTAGCATACTTTTTTATTATGTTGTTTGACAGGTTATGTATAGGCTTAATATTGTTTAATGTGATTGTCAAATAATTTAGTTTGAAAATCTGATATAAATGTTTTAATATGGTTAGGGAATCTATCTCACTGATTCTAGACACCTTTGCAGATCATATAACTCTGCTTCAAAACGAATGTCTATTATCCTCAAGCTATAAGAAAAGAATAAAATAATATTTCATTACATTTAAGAGACAGACTCTCTTGTATAGATTTTTTATGCTTGATGACAAACATGAAAATAAATTACCAGTGCTAAATTGACGTTCTATTGACATAACTTTTTTAAAAATAATTTTTACTGATGTTTTCTTCAGAATCACTGCTTCTGTGTGGTATTGTACATTTCTCATTAAAGAAAAATTATATTCTAATTATATACAGAATTTTATAATGATTTAAATAAAAAATTCTGGCTTGGTGAGTTTTATCTTTTATATTTTAGAAGACAGGTCTAAATGCTGTACATTAGATTCATATTGATATTCAGCCTGAGCTTTAACAATTCTGATGAAATCAAAAGCGTGGCAGGAGTGAAGTATTGCTCATCATAAGGATGTCTAGTTTTGCCCTAGACAAGAGCTGGATTCCAACAGAGAAATTTCTGAAACTAATTTTCAACAGGATTATGTTAAAGCAATAGGTTCAACAAATCATACAGATGTTTTCATTTTTCCATGAAATCTTATAAACAAAATAAATGTGAGCCAATTCTACAGTGTCTATACATGTGCTGAATACATAAAATGTCAGAGGAGATAGAGCAGTATTAGAAAGAGAATGAAGACAACCAAAAATGGTTTGTCAGAAGGGAAAGAATCTAAATTGACAATTTTTTTTTTTAGCTTGCAAAAGAAGCAAGTGAGAATATAATATAGGCCTAGAATATCCTGAAGAGCCTATGGAAGAATTAATAGGAATTACTATTTATTGGTTTTCTCAATATGGGAACTAGAATCTCCACTGAAACCATTAGGAAGCAGGTTTAAAATAGCCAAAGGAGAAAAAAAAAAGAAAGGGAAAAAAAAAAAAAAAAGCTTTTTTACATAAAGTAAAATTGTACTGTGAAACAACTCCTTCTTAATGATTAAAAAAAAAAACAGGAAAAAAAGGACAAATTAATTCAAAATCCATTTAGTACAAGCAGCTGATTACATTCTATCCTTGCAAAGACTGTGCTGGTTATTTTGCCACCTCTTATCGCTGGTTTAGGCAATACACTGTATGATCTTTTGTTCTGGCCCCTCAAGATCTTGCATTTTCATGTAATATTCTTGTGGAACCATAAGCAAGCCCTTCTTCCCACTTAGAAACAGATGTAAAAATCAATCTTTTTAATACTCTTGGGCTTTTCTGTAAAATGTCTCATCAGTGGAGCTCCCTGAGGAAGAGTTGAGAAAGACAGTTCTGCAGTCATCAGATATGTGAAGAAAATAGGTAAACTTCATAAAACTGTAAATATTTTATAATCAGTTTTGTTCATTGATTTTAAGAGAAACTGTTGGCCTTTAACTTATGTACTCATTTTCACCCATATAAAGGCACTCAAAATTGGTGTTAAATGCTACTCACTTAGACTGGCGCAGCATATTTGCTTGCACCCCCTTTTCACTGCTGTAAATGGTAGCACATGGTCAACAACAGAATTGGATAGTAGAGGAGCTCCTTTTGTAAAAAATATATCAGCATAATGAGAACGGAAAGATTTCTGGAAGTTTCTCTAGTAATGAAGTAATGCTTTATGAAAGATTTCTAATGGAGAAGCTAACAGAAGTTACTGATGATTTTGAAATTCCTAGGTAACATACTGTTTCTGCATAATCTAATGAAAACAATGTGTGTTCCAGAAAGCCAAATGCTTTCTAAAGAAACTAATGAATAGCTGTACATATGTATAAATATATAAAGAAACATATCTAATGAGCTTATGTTTTAAGTATTCAGAACCATAGTATGGTTTCATATTTGTGGTGTAAGCTGCTATTGAATCGATAGTGCAGTGTCTCTGTTTCTTCTTGGTTAGTTTCTCCCTGTGATGATAAAAACTACTGAGACTTCTAAGTTAGAATACTTTCCTATAAACATTTCTCCTTTCTAGAGTATTTTTTTCCTTCTATCAAATTAAATATTTTTGAATCTCTTTTTATCAGATGTTTGTCAAGCATTTGGTTCAGAAGCCCTTTCTTACCCTGCCTAGTTAATTAAGGTGATTGTAAACAAAAAGATGTACAATTCAAAGCCAACCAGTGTTTCACACAAGGATGGAGGTGATAATAGCTTAATTCCTGCTTGATCTTTCCTGTCTTTGCCCTGGCTACTTCAGATTGACCTTGTCCGCAATCTGATGACCTCCCTGTTGCACTCAGCCGTTTGGAAAGCAGCTCATGCTGTAGCTGGCCCTGAGGGGATATCTGGGAGCCCACTGATCCATTGACCCATGTCAAGACTGGGTTGCGAGGCTGGGCTGCAGAGTTTCTGGACCAGCTCCATACTACTCCTGCTATAGACAAAGCCAGCCTGACTTTTTTATCCTACTTCTTAAGTGGCATGCAGCTTGCACTTGCTATATGGAAGACCAATTTTACACCAGTCACTTGCTATGAAATACACTTCCTGAAGCAATTACATGTATTGATCCTTTCTGTACAAAAGGAGTAAATTCGCTAATTTAGTGGCTCAGTTTTTCTAAATCTGTCAAATTGCCAGGTTTATTGGGCATATTTAAGTTTCAATACCAAGTTCCCCCCCCCAAAAAAAATAAAGTCTTTCATGTATGTAATGACGATGAAGGTATGTGTATGTGTTATGTTTGTTTTTTTCCTGTGAAGTGTTTTTTGCCAGGGTTTTGCAGAACTGAATTTATAAAAGTTTGAAAATAAGGGTCTAATCACATTAATTTGGATATGTTTATGTATTTCTGCCTGTGTGTTCTACAGAGTGAACAACATAGGAAGTTTGCACTTGTTATTGCTTAAGGGGAAAACATCTCAAGCAACAGAGAATCCGTATTGCTTTGACCTTGCACAATTCTGCACTAGGCTGTACTGTTTTACGCTCTGGAAGTTATTTGTTTAGTTATTAATATTACTTGAAGTTTTCTTATTAGATTTGGAAGTAAAACTTCATTTACTAAATACACATTTTCATTTTTTCTTTAAAACTTTTGTAGCAAGCTCTGCCTGAAGAAGCGCCTCTGCAGGCCAAATGTTTATATGCTAGAGTACTGTCTTTTATTCCTGCTCAAAACAGGCCTAGACAGCACAATTGTTTAAAGCAGTTATGGTGCTGACAAGGAATGCAGTGCACACAGAGCTTGCAACCATGTAAAATTGCTTTTTTGTTTGTTTATTTACATGTGTGTGTGAAATTATGCCTTATTCTTCTTCCTTCTATTTACAGACTGGACATAAAATTGACTTAGCAGCCTTTTAATCAAAGAAAGATATTGATCCAATTTGATTTTCTTGGGTTCTTTTGGAATACATGGTGTAACTACAGATACTTTAAACACAACAGAAAATTTATTTCTGAGCATTGACCAAACATAGATAATAGCTTAAACCAATGAGGTTGCGGGCTCTTTTATGCCAAAGAGGATAGGATAATAACTGGATTTTGCAACTTCATAATTAATACACATGGTGCTACTTTCACCTGAACTGCCCCTTGTGTAGCATTTAGGAATGTGGATTGCATTAAAATGTAAAAAGAAGTTTTTGTTTTGTTTTATTTGTTTTCTCCCAGCATCTTACTATTTTTGTCCATTGCTTTCCACTAAGGATAATTTGAATCATGTTATATTCATTAATATAGTTTTCTAAGTTTCTCTGTGCATGATACCAACCAAAAGCATTCTCTGACTTTTTTTTTAGCCTGTTGTAGCTTACATCATTTTTCATATTACAAAGATGATAAGTATATATCAAGTCTAAAGACTTGAATTGTAGGAGGTATGAAAGAGAGGATTGAACCGTTCTATGAGGGAAATATAAATAAAGGAATTTCAATGTTCTCTATTTTCTCACTTCCTAATAGCACTTCAGTAATTATATTTTAATATAGCAAAGTGCATGCAATGACAGGATTTGTAACATGGCACTGTTTTTCATTTCTATACAGGAATTGATTCCTGAATTCTATTACCTCCCAGAGATATTTGTCAATAGCAACAATTACAACCTAGGGATGATGGATGATGGAACTGTTGTGTCTGATGTTGAACTTCCACCATGGGCCAAAAGCCCTGAAGAATTTGTTCGCATAAACAGACTGGTAAGATGATTATCTTCTGTTGTCTGTCAAGTAATGCTTGTCTTGCAGTCTTTCTCTGAAATGCTTTGGCTCTTTGTAAAATATGTATTTAAAGTATTTATAATTTACATTGAGGTATGGTCGAAATGATAAGAAGGGATGCTAGGTGTACAAGTTTAAGAAAGAAAAAGGCATATAGTATATCTCTTTCTTAAGAAATCCTTAAAAAAGTGTGTCTTAAACATGCAGGAGATCTTATTTGCTTATTTTTATGTCAACTCTTGAGATTTTAAAGAAAGAATAAAACCATCATTTTACATAAAGCTAGGAAACTGTTTAAACATAAAAGTAATTTTCATTCTTTTTTTTTTTTTTAATTTTAGTATCCACTTAACTCCAAAAATAGTAAATGCTTCAGAAAGAGAAGGTCATATTTTAATTTTTCAAACGCTCTGCCATTTATGCGGTTATTTAAATCATTTTCAGAGCTGTTCTTAGGTACAAATAAACCTGAATTTGCCTTCACTTGCCTCCTTTCCCCAACTAGTGTTAGCTTTTCCCTTCTGTGTTTCAGAAAATCCTGGTGTTAGCATTTTGTGTTTCACAGCAATCTTTGAGCATTTGCAGAACCTCTGAATGATTTACAGAAAATGTGTTGCCGTATCATCATCAGTGTCTCAGCACATTCTTAAAGCTGTTTTACTCTAGACGTGAATAAACTAGAGAATCTCTTTTTTAGTGAATCTTGAAAATTGGGACTGCTGTTATCAAGTTCCATATAGTTGTTAAGAAGTGACTAACTATGAAATACTGAATTAAGGCATGCAAAATTCACAAAAACTTTTCACAGAAACCAGATACATCCTTGATAATCTCCTGATATCCTCAGGGTAGAAAACAGGCATTTTAAAAATTCCTTTGTTGGCGGAACATCAAACCTACTGTTGGTAAAACTTGCGGGACAGTTGTATGAAAACAAAACTATCATCTATAAATTATCAGACTCCTTTATGCTGTGCAGTTACTGGTGACGTGATGCCATGCTCTTTTGATATGTTATTTGACCTACATTTCTGCAGGCCATTGAGCAAGATAATATTCGTAGCAGTTGTAGGTCCTTCTGTGATAACTACAAATAGTGTATGATGATTTGCTACATGTAAGTATGTGCAAATTTTATTTAAAAGGAGTATGAAACACACTAATATTTAGCAGGGCCATTTGAGAAACTGTGTTCAAATGCAACTTTTGATCTTGTCCTTGTGCTGATAGCTGTTATGTTTGGAGGCGGGGAGGCAGGGCTGGAAGGACACCCTTTTGAGTTGAGGATGCCTGGGTGACTCAGGCCGATCCGAGGGTTGAAAAGCCATGTTCTTAAGCAGACTCGTCAAAGGCAGCCTTGGGCCTTGATCACTCACAGCACTGGTATTTTAGCTTTTGCACAAAATGCAGCAAATTCAGTTGATTGTAGACCTGGCTTTCCCTGCTGTGGATTCAAGTTTTCCAGCTCGTGCCTCCTCCTTTTTTAAGATTTTGGCTCCATGTATGTGTGTGTATATACATATAAATGTATATTTACTTATTTCTAGCCTTGGTACCAGTTTTTTCTCACCCTCACCTCTCTGTACTTTCTGACCTATATTTTCCTTATCCTTCCTTCATTTTGACAGGTTTTAGCTGCTATTCTTGCAGCTTTTCTTGCAGCTCTGCTTGAGGTCTCTCACATACACTATACTTTCAGGATGCAGTCCCTCTTTAGCAGGAAGCAGAAATTATTTAGCAGAATAAGAGAAGTTATCACCCTTAAGCTCAGGAGCAGAAAATATAACATCCCTTTAAAGTCATTTCTTATTGAAATGTGTCACCTTAGGAGTCACCTCATTCCAATTTCTGAATATAGCTTTTTCTTTTATGCAGGTTGAACAGTAAGTGCTTCTTCTTTTTTATTAGTTACCCAAAAAGCATTTTAGAAAATTCTAGAATAAAGGAGGTGCTTATTACATATCTAAGGCTTTCATTTAAAGATAAAATAATTTGAAAATCTAAAACATATTTGATTTGATACCGTTTCCATCAAATTTTAAGTGGAATAGAGGTGTTTAGTAAGAATGCTTGAAGCTTAGTGCTTTAGAAATACCAGAAAAGCAACGTGGCATGGACAGATTCATTCAGTTAGTATTTCCTCACAACTTCCTCGTTCAGACAAAATGCTGATTGTAGTATTTTGTGCTCATTTTGTAAGCTATCATATGCAGATATTTTTTCCCCTTTGCATTTCAGTTTCCCTCTTTAAGTCCGCAGATTTTATGCAATGATTGGAGCTCATGAAATGCATACTACTTTGATCTGTGACCTTTTTGTGGTGCTAATCGGGTTCCTGATATCATTATACCTTGCTCATTAATCATATTTCCTGCGGCCCGTCAGGCAGCCAGACAGCCCAAGCCCCTGTTTTCAGCCTTGTGTTGGCAGGTTTCTGCTTTTCCAGATTATTACAGTGTGATACTTTGGCTTCTCATAACCAGACCCACATCAAGCTGTGTGCTACAATTAAAGTCAGATGGTCCTCAGGTTGAACAGGGATATACTGTTGCAGCTGTCTGTCTTCCTGGAACAGAGCAGCACGGGGAACAGATGATATGTAGGAGAGTGCATAATAGCAGATTGTACAGTACCGGGTCAATAGCAGGGGTTCACAACATTAATTGACAGGCTCATTGCTGGTTTAAAACTAATTCCCAAACTATTCTTTAATTCTAAACACTCTGCATTTCAGCTGAGATGAGTTGTTGCATGTCTTCCATGCTCACTTTGAGAGGAGGAGAGCAGTGTATAATTAAAACTAGTTTTTGATTGATGGAATGTCGTGGTCAGCTAAATGATGGCATTGGGATATCATTCCAAGCAATACAAAGAAATGTAAAATACAGTATGACTTTTATGTATCCTGGGGACATTTTATTGGTTTATGAAAGCACAATATTTTAGAATGATGCAAACCGGTGTGTGTGGTAGTGGGGGGATTAAGAATTTTTTCTCTGAGAAAGTCAGCTTTGGGATGGAAAAATGATAATTTTTACTTCTATGGAACCTTATTGTATACCTCTGAAGCTCTGAATTATATTTACTGCTGTAGAATGACTCCTAAAGTAATCTGAAAATATTTTTCATTTTACGCAGATGCAGTTGACATTAATTATTGTATAATTGCATAGTAATTATTTACATATGTGTAGTAATAATCAGATAATTAATGTAACATATAATTAGCATAATTATTTGTTTTATAAAAGTACAAAAACACCTTAAATAAGATTAAATAGTAATCCTCAGAAATACAGAACAGAAAAATCCTAAACAAAATCTGCTATTACATCCTTACTTTGTTTCTGAGTAGCAGTAGCTATGGGGTATCTGAGCAAATTGGAGAATGCAAACTTCATTCGCTATGTAATTATAAAAAAAAAAAAATGAAAGTAGTTTTGGATATTAAACCCAGAACTAAATCCTTACGAATTTTGTTTTTCTTCATTGCTCATGAGAGTCTTAAAGGAAAGTGAAAAGTAAAGAAGGGAATAAGAGAAATCTTTGTCAAAATTATTGCAGTACTTGTCAGATTGTTTCTCAGTCAGTGAAACAGACAATATTATTTTAAATTCAGATTTTCTGATTTTGTTGTAGTTGTTTTTGTGACAGAGTCTTAGTTATATTGGCCTTGCTTCTTTAATTTTTTTTTAATTTAAATGATAATTTCTTTTCCTTTTGGACTTAGTGATCACTCCATTGAAGCAGAACAAAATTTTGAAGATTGTTCTTATGCGAGGTAAAATAGACATTCACAAAGATCAGGTAGAACCCATAGAAAAGCCAGATGTTTCCCCATGATAGTCAGGAGGAGCTAAAAATCCAAATAGGGAAGTTACTTTTGTTCTCAATGGAAAAGTGATCTGTTTTATCCTGTATTCTAAATGGAAAAGTGATCTATTTTATCCTGTGTTTAGAGATCTATTTTATCCTGTATTTAGAGATCTATTTTATCCTTATTTAGAAATATTAATCAACTGATAATAACTAAATTTTCCACAACTTCCGTGAGCCTCAGCTTTTTGAGAATTGGATTGCTTCAGTGATAATAATGTTGTAGAGGTCTGTCAGAACAGCTCTGTACAATATATCTCAATTTAAATATTTTTAGTGCCTTATTGCAGAGTCAGTCCTTTCACGATAAGTGGTTTATCCCTTTTATTCAATATTGAGAAAAATGCAAGGCAAATTAGAAAAGTGATGAGATTACTGTGTAGGTTTGAAAGTTTTCAAATCTAATTTTCAGATAATTGAAAATGTAGTGATTGGAAGCTAGGACACTTTCTGAAAAAATGAAATATGTAAATGCATAAAGATATTATAAGCAAAATTTATCCTGCAATGATAAGTAAATTGGAGAACAGGGATAGGTGAGCCACTCATCCAAGTACAAATTCTAGAGCAAAATAAATCAGTATTACCAACCACCAGTTGGTAAGAAAGATCTGCAGCAAGAATTAGGGGATTGTTATCAGTCAATATGATGCATTATTCCTTAGCATAAAGCAATTCCACCTTATTCCAAAAAACATTGAAAAAGCAGCCCTACCAGCCACCATGCAGCAGTACTGAGAAGTGCAGTTTTTGTGAGTCTCCAGTCTACAGTCCATAGAAAGTGAATTGAGGTGGAAAAAGAAAAAGTGGGTCTCAAAAACATCATGCTGCATGTAGTTTCTGAAAGCTGTTGCTGTTCATCAGCTAAAGATACAGTTGAGACACTGGCTGCAACCTGGAAAGTCTAGTATTTTTTTCATTGCTTTGGAAAAGTCAGTGTGAGATATTTTTCCCCCGGTTGCCCCGCAGTGTTTTTACAAAGGAATGACAGCAGGTGCTATAACAAATTACTTGGATAGGTGCTGTATAAGTCAAGGCACATCAGTGCAGATTACTGGTGGTAGGGACAGATAGGTGAAATGCATTTGAGGGAGCAAGCTGAG